AGCACACTGCTCCTGCTGGCCACACTACTTCTGATCCAAGCCAGCATGCCCTTGGCCTTCTTGGGACACCTGGGCATATGGTCAGGCTCATGTTCAGCTGCTGCTGACCAGCACTCCCAGGTCCTTTTCCACCAGGCAACTTTCCAACCACTCTTCCCCAAGCCCGTAGTACTGCATGGGGTTGTTGTGACCCAAATGCAGAGCTCAGAGCTTCGCCTTGTTGAAACTCAAACCGTTGACCTCATTTCATCAATTCAACCTGTCCAGATCCCTCTGCAGAGCCTTCCTACCCTCCAGCAGATTAACCCTCCTGCCCAACTTAGTGTCATCTGCGAACTTACTGAGGGTACAGTCAATCCTCTCATCCAAATCATCAATAAAGATTTTAAACAGGACTGGCCCCAACACTGAGCCTTGGGGAACCCCACGAGTGACCGGCTGCCAACTGGATGTAACTCCACTCACCACTACTCTCTGGGCCCAGCCATCCAGCCAATATTTAACCCAAAGATGGGTGCACCTGTCCGTGGGCTGCCAAGAGAATGTCGTGGGAGACAGTATCAAAGGCTTTACCGAAGTCCAGGTAGACACATCCATAGCTATTCTCTCATTTAGTAGGTGGGTCGGCTGGTCACAAAAGGAGATCAGGTTGGCCAAGCATGACCTGCCTTTCTTCAAACCATGCAGGCTGGGCCTGATCCCCTAGTTGCCCTGTACATGCTGCGTGATTGCACTCAAGATGATCTGTTCCATAACTTTTCCCAGCACTCAGGTCAGGCTAACGGGCCTGTAGTTCCCTAAATGCTCTTTCTGACCATTCTTGTAGCTGGGTGTCACCTGGGACCTCCATGGTTATCCAGGACTGATGATAAATGATGGAAAGTCACTTGACAAGCTCCTCTGCCAGCTCCCTCAGTTGGATCCCATCAGCCTCATGAACTTGTGAGTGTCTAAGTGGCACAGCAGGTCTAACTACTTCCACTTGGATTACAGGGGGGTCTATTCAGCTGCCTATCCCTATCTACCAGCTCATGGGGTTGGTTGCCCTGAGGATAACCAGTCTTTCTGCTGAAGACTGAGGCAAAGAAGGCATTAAGTACCTCAGCCTTTTAATTATCCTTGATGACAATGTTCCCCTCCCCATCCAAGAAGACACTCAGTACTAGCTAGATCCATTCTCAGACATTCACCTCTGAAGACCTATTTCCATTATCAAGGTACAATCTCTACTTGAATAATACATCCTTTGCAAGCCTACCATTATGAAATCTTCAAAGGCTTTTTTTTAAATTGGAGCAGAGCAGAGCAACTGGAGCCGAGCAGGAGTCTGACATCAGCATTTATTCTAGCAGTCCACAGGCTAAACCCCATCATTTTTAATTTAGTCATGGCTCAGTACAGTAAAGGAAATCTCCCTGAACATTTTAAGAAGCCATGCCCTCTGTAAAAAGAAGAGCATCCAAAAGACATACTAACATTAGCATTTCTTACACTGGTATTGAGGAAAACTAGTTCTGCACTTGACCTAAATGTTTAATCAACCAGAACTTTAGAGTAATTAGAGATCTGATATAAAAATACATAAAGAGATAAAAAAAGAATTTTTGTCAAATAAGATTGGTACATTTGAATGCATCCGTCAGTACCTTATCTGTGGTCTCATGTGACTAAAAGCTCTAACATGCTGCTCAAATTCACACTTAGGGTATGAATTTCAATATCACTCACACTACTGGAATATTGTTTTGGCTCACATTTTCTACAGGCAGTATGGGCATAAGTAGATTAAGCCAAATGGCATTATGAACTAGAGCCCTTATGCCATCTCTGTATGATGAAGGAGACTGATCCACAGATTACTTCTCAATACTTAAGAAAACTCCTTAGATACTTAAAAAAAAACCCCAAACACAAAACCCCAGACACAATATTCTAAGAAGTGCCTGACCCCTGGGCTGTATTTGCAGGGTTAAGTTCTTAGTGTATAAATTTACTGAAGATATTTTTAAGGAAACCTGAACTTCAAAGCAGCTCAGTATATATTCTGCATGTCCACTGGTTGTGAAGAAGAACTTTTGAAATATCTGATTACTATTTTTACAGTTTTGAAATTACTTCAGAAAGAAGGATATCTCAAAAATCTCAAGGCCCAAGGTGAAAACTTTTTAAAAGTTTAAGGTCTCATCTTGACATGAACAGTCTTTACATTTTATTTTGATTTCTCTTACTAATGAAAATGCCTAGAAGAAAAAAAGCAGCTTTTCTAAAGAATAAGGGTCATTTTGGAATTTCCGTTCAATAAAGATCTTTGTTAAGCTAAATGCATGTTTCAAAACAATATATAAAAACATAAAACCGGAGAAGCTTCAGGTATCTTATCTGCAAAAGATGAATTAGATTTATAGTGTTCACCACTTTCAGATATTACCTCCAATCTGTCTGCTAACTTGTCAAATTCAAGTATTAATGTCATGCCTCAGCTACTTTCAGGTACAATATATTTCCTGAAAATAATACTGTATGGTACTACCTCCAAACCCATTTATTTTACATAGGTATGATGGAAAACTATGTGCAAAGGTAACCAACCAGGTTTAAATGGGTTTAGTTTCATTTGGTGCATGACTGGCTTCCACAAAGAATTTCCATTAATTAAATTGTAAATCACCTGGCAAGCCGAGCAGATTCACCCTGAAGACACTTATCAGAGGAGGTAACTGATGTACCATGAAACATAAAATGGTCAGAGGCTTCATAGTACTTGCTACTGGTGAAATACACAAGGCTAAAAAGGAGAAGCCGCTGTAGAACACATTCAAAATAGATAAAGAGAAAAACAACAACACTGGTCAAATTACCCAAGTTAGACCCATATACTTAAAAAGGAGGTACTTTACTACAACATGCATTGACTAAAATATTGGTGAAATTTCAGATAGCCCACAAGGTGCTATTCACCACCTCTTCCTCTCCACTGTTAAAGTTATTGAACTCCTTTTCTGCAATCAGATACATAATTCAGTCTCAGCTGATGGCTGCTGCTGCAGATACAACTTTGTACTGTCCTTATATATGAATTCCTTAGGTCACAAATTCTCTGCTTTTTATCTGCACTTGAGTTACCAAACCCACAAAGTAGCTATAACCATTTGGTATGGTTCAGTAAGGACTTCACTGTCTTCCAGTATAGGGGGTATGTCTTCGTGAAGTGGGCACAACAGTCCTGCAGTCCTTGCAGGTTCCACCTACAACACTGAACAAACTTGCATCTTCTTATTGGGTATTGCCAACACTTCCAGCCCAGGGACTGAAAGCCACACATGCTTAATCACTTTCTAGTTCTTACATCTCTCCAATATTTTGCCAAGATTTCTGCATCATCATTCCCTTGCATTAATCCCACTTGTTTTGTTTTCCTGTGTTCAAACCTCTGAGTCTTTCCTTGGAAACTTCTCCAACACTTGTAATTCTAGATTCTTATCCTCAGCTATGTAATACTGTTTACAACATTGCTCTTCCATATTTGTTACTGAATCCCTCTCCAATACCTCCATAAAATTTGTTCTTTTGAACCTAAGATCACAGTTGTGAATGTGAATGTAAGAACACACATTCTCCTGAATGTAAGGCCACTTAATGCAAGCAGAACAGCACAGACAGACTCTGACATGCCATCTGAATGGAGCATCCTCTCCAAAGCCACAGGCACTGCTCTGCTCTCCTCCCCTGTCCTCTGTCTCCTCCCATTCCCCATGAAGTTCTGTAGCACAGAATCAACCAAAATATACAGCCCAGCATGGCCTCTGAGAGATACTAAATTTGCTTACAAGTTAAAAGGAAATTCTTACATGATTCAGAACGTTTAGTCTGTATATTAATTAGCTTAGAAAAGAGCATAATGTTCCTCACATTGTTACCCTCTACTTTCTTTTACTTCTTGAAGTAGTTTTCCAATTCTTTTTATTGAGTTTCAACTGAAATAATATTTAAAGCTGTTTATTCTTAGGCCACTGTCTTTATAAAGTGTAGTTGTATCACCAAGCATAACAGGACACCCTGGTAGTTAACACTGGTAGCACCAACATCAAAATCAGCTGTAAAAGCATGTTGTGACTTTAGATAATATTACTGACTGAAAAAGTAAAATTCAATTAAATCAAATTATACGAAACAAAACAGCAGAATAAAATAAAGTTGCAAATTCAAAATATTTAACATAGTTAACAGAAAAAAATAATCCATGGAACACACTGTTATGAAAAAATTTATAAACATGTAACTGAAGAGAGTTACTATATCATTCAAACAATGTAACCAAGTATTTTCTAATGAAGCACAGATGTAAAGAAGAGAGAAGTAGCACAGTCAATCTATCTTAACTTTCACACCTGTATTTCTCTATTTCTCTGTTAAAATAAACATGATATTTAGAAATTAAAAGAACCTTTACATTTCCCAAACTAAATCATGTTCGAACTGCTTGGATATTATTACAAGGTGATAATATTGTTATTATTAAAAATATTAAATACATACATGTCAGGAAAAAGAGCTAATACATGCATACATTATATTTGTTTATAATTCACTAAATATTAGCTACATTTTACATGAAATCTAGAAGGACATTTATTAGAAACCCGCTGGCCCTCTGCATAGTAGAAGCCCATGCATGGCGTGAACACATTGCTGGGGAAACTAAACAGTTTGGTTAGGAAAGCCAGTTTTTATACAGCAGAGCAAAATGCTTGAGAAACCTACTTCCACCCATAATGGAAATTGTGTATTTTAGTGCATTACTATTGCACTACTGAAATCTTCCCAGACACTACCTGGTCATGTTCAGTATTACTGTCCTGCAGACACTTACTTCAACATGCAGGGTAAATGCAGCTAATAAGCATAATTAGCTCAGACAGTGTATTTAATTTAGTTTTGCACTAAAGACTAATTGCCTATTCAGCGAAGGGGAAGTGTAACATTTTTTTTAAGATGCTTACCCGAGGGCCCTGATCACCTTGATCTCCCTGCAAAGTGGAAAGATGAGATGATAGGTTTAACACAGCATCTGTGTGCTACCCAGCTCTCTTATATAATCTAACATTACACTGCATCAATACAAACGGTCTCTTTAGGTCATGCTGGGAGAGCTTTCCATTCACCTTGTAAGAACTCATCCACTCACCTTCTCGCCTTTTGGACCAGGAGGGCCCTGAAAGAAACAAAAGCAAAGACACATTACTGATATTGATTAAGTCCTGGGACACAGCAAGAAACAGGTCTGCACCAACTTGCAGTTTCTTCCCAACAATGTATTTCCTTACAATTTTTCACTCCAAATGCCAGGGCTATTCTAGAGATGGCTTTTTCACTGTACTAATAATAGGCAATATGCAGTTATTTCTTGAATAGTTTGCTAATCCTGTGTGTTGAATCAGACTACTTATACAAGCAAAACTATGCCTGAAATGACAACATTTCTGTTGATTTCAGTTACAGACAATAGTTTATCTCCTATCAGATATGAAAGTTTCCTAAGACTGTAAAACTTCTTTGCAGTGCAGCTAATAAATTCAGAGACATATAAATCTGTCATGTATTTTGGCACCCTCCTTGTCTTAGATTGCCAAAGAAAAATGGATTAGGAAATCTAAAACTAGGGTTTTCATTCCTTTCTTTGGCAATACTGAAGTTGATGTTTAGACTCAAGCACACTGTTTTAGGCAAAATGAGCTCTTTGTATAACATGATTTTACAGAAGTACTACTTTTTTGTTACTTATCACCCGACAAACAGTAAGGTGATAGAATCACAAAACACTGAGGTCCTTTCCTATTCCATTTTTATTAAGCACCTTCCATAAAGCTACCAGCAGGTTTCTAAAACACTAGCTTTTCAGGTTAGTATCCTGTGAATAAAAACATTATCAGTCTGCAGAGAACTGGCTGTTTACATAATGCAGACTTTACCTCCAGCTTTCTGAAAGATATGCAGGTGTTTCATTACAAAGAAGGACCTGAGACACATATGAAAGCAGCTGGAAACAGAAGGAGCCATCCAACCTAGCAGGGTCCACTGTTGTAACACAAAGAGAGGGTGTGTGTGTGTGTCTGTGTGTATGCATGCAGAACAAGAAAAGTTTGTCACCAACAACCCTTGTAAAAATTCATGTGGTTCACGTAAATGCAATGGAAGGAAGGTCAGTCTGCTGTGTATTAAAGATGTGATCAACCAAAGGCAAGTCTTTGAGAATCCTTATTGTAGCCAGTTTTCTGCTTAGTTTTAAGGACTTCTGATGCATACCAGAGAAGAGCATCTGCTGCTAAATCTTTCAAGGAGTTAAAGCACATGCCTCTCCTTCCACAACCTGCCATCTGCATAGTTTGCCTCCTGACATTCCTTCATCTCCTTCAGGAAGGACAGTGCTTCACTGCTAGCTGAGTGGAAACTATCTGCTCAATTAACTATGACCCCTGCCCACTTTGTGTTGCCCTGAAAGCACTGCACCTTTCAGGTCCCTCCATCTATTTTTTTTTTATACTTTAGCTCTGACTGCCCCTCTCCAGCTCACATGTTCACACAAATACATACTAAAAGCCACATGCAGCACCGTCTACTTTTAGCTACAGACTCCACTTATATGTACTTCGACATGACATTACAGTAGAGCACATTTTCAGCAGGTCTGCTTTAAAATTTACACATCCATGCCATCAAGCTTGTGAAACTGCCAACTCATACCATCAGTAACACAATAATTGCATGATGGGAAGAACTAAAATCAGTCAATGCTGGCTGTTAATGCCTTTTTCATCATGAACATTGAGCACAAGTGAAGCGCTGTGCTCATGTGTTCCATCTCCTCAAATTATCAAGCCATTACTGGCTCAGAATATCTTATTGGCTGCAAACTGCAAATAGCATGACCCCTATCTGCTACATTCAGAATCCTGTTTCTTGGGCCTTAGGCATGAAATTATAGATAACATGACATGACTGAGACTGTAGACAGATGTTGACTTGTGGGATTTGTTGCTGCCTTTGTTCAGATGCTCAATGTCATTCTTATGCCCAAGGGTGGCCCTGCTTCTGGTGTGTTTTGGCTCAGAACTTTCCTGAGGCATGCTTGCTACAGTTCTGCCTACTGGCAGAAACTAAGACAGCACAGATCACATCAGCTGCCTGAATTAAGCCGGTTCACTGGAACAGAAACAAGTTAGAGTGCGCTCACATGAGGGTTCATCCAGCAGATCTGCAGGGCTGCTAGACTGTCTCCCTTGTACAACTGCTGGCGATATCCTCAACCATCTCCAGCTGCAGAAGTGGCCCCTGCCTCTACCCTGCATATTTTCCTCTGTTAAGAGTTCTCTGAAAGCACAGTCCATAGTCAAACATGCTTTTTAGTAAGACTGAATTGTGTATCTCAACTAAATTTTGTTCTCCTTTTCCTGTGCAGGATTTTCTGAAAATTATCTGTCCACATCATGTTCAGAATTCCAGTTTGTTTTTCATTGCTTGGTATTTGCTCTCCCTGAGTGACACACACCATTGTTTCTATCAAGTCATCCTTCCAGCACAAAAATTTTTCATACAAAGTATTCATAAATATCTGACAATTTTATTCTACCAGAAGTTAAAAACAACTTTTCAAAAGGCCACAAGAGCATTTCTGGTGTGAACATTCTCAGAAGTCTCTTCACTTGTATTTGCAATGCTTTTGTTTTCCTCAAGAGTCTCGAAAAACAAACAAACAATTGCAAACAAAAATAGCTGTTCTGGATGCAAGTGAAGAGAACCAGTGAGATTTCTTCAGAAGAAAATTAATGCAATACTTTCATGGCTTGTTCACCCATCTCTGGCTTTCCCCCCATTGTTTCAATTGTCCTCTATTGTTTCTGCAACTTTAAACAGAAAATTCCCATCTTCAGCCTTTGACATCTTCTTTCCATTTGTGCGGAGAAATTCTCCCAAGGTTTTTACTACAGAATTTATTAGTGTGTGTACACTGAACAGAGGCAGGGAGGAAGAAAAATCTGAGGGAAAGTTGAGTTTGCGGGGGTGGGGTGCGATTAGGAGACAGATTTGTTTAAAAAAGGGCAAGGTTTCTTCTGTTTAAGGGTATAGACACAAAGAACAGAGTGAGTAAAATAACACTAGTTTTGTACGCCACAGCATAGACATGCTGTTTTTTTCCCAGGGAGACTTCTGTGCTTTCACTTATGAGATGGCAGAGATCAAGCCACTAGCTGCTGAACAAATGTGAAAGCATTTTGTGTAAGTTATATGAAACGTCTGAGGTCAGAGCATTTCTGAAATAACTTTACAGTGTTTTCACTGGAAACAGAGGCTCTTTTCTCAAAGTGTAATTATCTACTCCAGACTACTATACATTTCCAAGGAGAGTTTATAGCCTGTTTCACATAAGCAAGGCCTTGTAAATCTCAAACACATGCAAAATCTGCATTCATAATTAGGCGACAAATACTACTGTTTTTAAAACAAGGTCTTCTAAAGCAGACTGAAAGGCCTCCGGGCACCTGCCAGCCAAGAACAAAGCTGAAATAAGGGTCAAATCCATTCAACAGCCATGTTCAGGATTACTGACAGGTGATCCTTTTTTTGGGGGGGGAGGAGGGGCTATCAAAATCCCATTTCCCTTCTCAGATGAAATTTTACAGTATTATAAATATGTGCATAAGAATAGAAGGGCAAGAGAATACAGTAGTAGAAAACAGAAGACTGATCCTTGCAGTCTTTATTTGGACAATATTCCCTTAGGGTTTATTGACTGTAATTGGCATGTTTTTTTCATATAGTTAGAATTTTATAATTCATCCCCTGAAAGATGCTAATTTTGTATTCCACCTTTGAGGCATTGCTGCCTTTATAGTTACATTCACAGGACCTCTTCAAAAGCCAGTACTTGACTTATACTGGTTTTACAAACATTCATAATTATCAGAATTCTCTCATATTCTCTCCACATTCCTGTTGCTACAGATCTGGCTTTAACCATAATACAGGTAGTTCGACTATAAACTCACCCAAAAGGCATTGACACACTACCTACAGTAAAACTGAAAATAATAAGGGATTCTCAGTAAGAGGTTCAAAGAAAAAGTAATGTTGTAGGTTCTGTAGAAAGCTCCAGACTCAGGACAGAGAAATACAGATTTTTTGTGACTGTTAGCCCCTGTGACACTATTGGAAAAAGGACCTGTCAGAGCCCTGGTGACAACCAACCAACCAATCAACCAGTCAAAATCAGTTGGACTGTGACACTCCCAGGTCCCATGGGGATCATCCTGAGATGTCAAACTCAGCAGCTCCCATCAGAGAAAGTTATCACAGAAGGCACAGGTAATAATGTTTCAGATGCAGTCACTGCTTTCCTACATTTCAACCACAACAACCACAGGCTAAGGCAAGCTGGCAGGTAGAGGACTGAATGTAGCTTGCAAGATTCAACCTTCATTTTCATTTAGGATCAAAGAGCATACAACCCATTCATCCCTACTAGCAGCAACAGTATCCGCAAAAAAGTGTGACTGGCAGCATAAGGGAACAGCAGCCTTGCAGAGACGAACAGAAAAGTGAACCAGACTGTCCAATGTCATCTAGACAAACTCAAGAAGGAAATAAATTTGCCAACTTAGTTGAATTATGTCTGCACAACTAAATGGCATGCCATATATTGCCTAAGTTAATTCAATTACTGTAGTTTACTTTGAGGGTAAAAGGTGGCTTCAGCACATAACAACAAAATAATCAGATACAAAAGTCAAATTTTTTCTTTCTTTGAAATTTGACTCACGACTCCCACAAATTACAAGAACTTGTATGGAACAACAGTCCCGAGGCTAACTTATAATTGTTGCAAAATATTAGGATCAGATATGCTGAATCATAAGAGGTTATGCAGTGTATTATGAAGTACAGTTGTGTTTCATAACTATTTCAAAGTTTCTCCACTCATTTCAGTCTTGCGCCCACTATGCAAGCCCTGAATACTGAGCAATGTGGTTTTGGCATCTGCTGAGCTTGGCCATGTTTTCAGCCAGTGTTTACATATGCTAGTTTACAATGCAAACATCTCACCTTGCATCAATTTTACAAGTACTCACAAGAATTTCCAATGAATCTAAACTGTTTCTACTGTTGAAGTCCCTTTTTTTTTACAAGTTGTATTCTTCCCCTGTGATATGACTGACT